TTTGGAGAGGTTTTTTCGCTATAGGGCGCGTGCGCTCGCCAGACAGACAGAGAGAGACATAGAGACAGAAAGTGAGAAATCACCCCCCAGGGGGGATGGTCACGCCACAATCACTTCTCCTCCATTCTCCTCTCGGGATCTTGGGCACGTACACACATGCGCCCGGCGTGAGTTTTAAGCCACCGGGTCCGGGACGCGAACCACGGTCGACTACGTGGGAGTCCAGCGACATAGCCATTACGCTAACTGCTGGTTCCCTCCTTCCTATTCTTCAGGAAACAGAATTCGGATCTCAGCATCCTTTTCATTGCACATGTAGGTGTGCAGCCTCAGCCGCCAAATCAAATGGGCTGTGGAGTCAGTTTTCCTACCTCAGGCTGGGGACCACAGGCAGTATTGGGGTCCATTCTCTTGCCTTTGGCCCAAAGCCCAGGAAGAAGGTGTCAGTAGCTCCAGCTAAGGGGACTGGCAAGCCCAGGTGTTCTGGCTCCCAGCCCAGAGGCTTCCTGGACCCTTGACTGCAGGCAGGCAGGAAGAGGGAGCCGGAGAAAGAGCGTGTTCAGTGTGCCCTCCCATGTCCACAGCTCAACAACAACACGACAGCTGGCCAGGGTGTGACTGTGGAGCTCTTCCTGACCCTGCAGCTGGTGCTCTGCATCTTCGCCTCCACCGATGAGCGCCGTGGAGACAACCTGGGCACTCCTGCCCTCTCTATCGGCTTCTCTGTGGCCCTGGGCCACCTCCTTGGGGTAAGTAATGGCCATAGTTTTCAGCCTGCCTGGAAGGACAGTCATGCAAACTCTCCCCTGAAGAAGCAGATCACTCTGGAGACAAACCCATAGAACCCCAAAATGACAGACACAATGACTCCCCAGAGGGACAGGTACACAGAACTCCCAAGTGGGACAGACACCTCAGAGGTATGACTCCCAGATACCCCAGAGGGACCACTACAGCACCCAAGGAATAGAGACCTGTAAACAGAACACGGAGCTCTGGGACCAGCAGATGGCATAATTGTATGTCACTGGGCTACCACGTAGTCAACTGAGGTTTGAGTCCCACACCTGATGACTTAAAACTCATACCAGGCATGTGTGTGTGTGTGCCCAAAAATCCTAAGAGAATGGAAGAGAATGAATTGTGTGTGGCCATTCCCCCGGGGGGTGATTTTTCACTGTCTCCCTGTCTCTCTCTCTCTCTCTGTCTCTCTGGTGAGTGCATGTGCCCTATAGCAAAAATCTCTCTAAAAAAAAAAAAACAGAGTTCATTGTCTCTTGTGTGGATTCCCTTCAGGCTGAGGTCAAGCTCTGGAGCAGGGTCAGGACTCCCTGCCCCATTCTCACCTCCCTTCTTCTCTCACCCACCTCCCACTGCAGATCCACTACCCCTTCTTCTCCCCCCCTCCTCCCACTGCAGATCCACTACACCGCCTGCTCCATGAACCCTGCCCGCTCCTTGGCACCCGCCATCGTCACCGGCAAGTTTGATGACCACTGGGTAATGGCTGAAACCCCCCTTCCCGTTTCCTAGAAACCCACTTCAGAGGGAGAACAAGGGCAGGAATACAGTGGGTGGGAGGCTCAGTAGCTAAGCCCCAAACCCTCCAAACTCCTCCTGGGGCTTCCAGTTCCACCCTTCATGTCTGATGGCAGACACAATTCCCACTTACAAGGAAATGTCAAGAGTTCATAGAAAATGGAATTGAAGTACAAATTTATTTGGATGTAAAATTGTTGAAGTCTAAGCATAGTTTTCATAATATGCATTTACTGTGGATTGTTTAAAGATCCTTGTATAAATGAGGCAACAGTTTTTGCCTCGGCTCCCAGAGACATGAAATGAGGTGAACTGTGTGAAATGAGCAACGCAGGCCTAGCACTTAGACCTCGCAAGTAGTGGGCCCCTGGTGGCCTGGCAGTTGAAGGAGCCTGATTGCACATGGCTGACTTCCAACTTCAGCGGCCTGAAAAAACGGCGGCACGTGGGTGGGCATGCCCAAAATCTGGACGGGAGGGAGAAACGGAGTAGAAAGTATTGCAGTGTGACCACACCTCATTAGGGGGTAATTTCACCCTCTCTCTTTCTCTCTCCGGGTCTCTCCCCAAGAAGCACAGGCAGCCTCCAATAATTAGGGGGAAAAATGGTAATATTTATACTATAACATATTTCTTTTTATTCTTTAGCACTTATCCGGTACTTAGTATGTGTAAGACTTTTTTTTTCCCCCCTTTGGAGAGGTTTTTGCTACAGGGCGTGTGCGCTTGCCAGAAAGACAGAGAGAGACAGAAAGTGAGAAATCACTCCCCGGGGGGAGATGGGCACACCACCATCCCTTCTCCTCCATTCTCCCCTCCGGATCTTGGGCACGCACACACACGCACCACCCAGCATGAGTTTAAGCCACTGGGTGTGGGTTCGACTACATGGGAGTCCAGCGACATAGCCATTATGCCAACTGCTGGTGGCGTGAGACTTTCTTCTAAATGCCTTGCAGTAGTAGCTCATTCCGTTTTCACAGCAAGCCTAGGAAGTAGACAGCATCACGAAAGGAAACCGAGGCACAGAGCGTGAGTGACTAGGTTGACACAGCAAGTAAGTGGTGGAGTGAGGATTCACACCTAGGCAGCCCACTTCGGGGTCACGCCCTTAGCCCCACACTGACAAGTCCTCTCCAACAGCTATGCTGTCATTCATTGCTAATGACACGAATTAGGATTTTATTGTATTGATGATGCATAGACCTCTTTTCCACAGGAAGTGAGAGGGGCGTGTACCTGCGTGCTGGGGCAGGGGCGGACAACACCCCCGCACCCGCCCCGCACTCTAGGGCGCCACGCCTCGGCTGGCTCAGGGGCCCAGCAGCCCTCTCTGCTCCCCTAGGTCTTCTGGATCGGACCCCTGGTGGGTGCCATCCTGGGCTCCTTGCTCTACAACTACGTGCTGTTCTGCCCAGCCAAGAGCCTGTCCGAGCGCCTGGCGGTGCTGAAGGGCCAGGAGCCGGACGCTGACTGGGAGGAGCGCGAGG